AGACGTATAATGGAGCACATACATTCGGTGACCTCCAAGAGAGATACCCCTGTCGCTAGGCATGTGAGACTCAACCATATGGATACACCTAAATGCATTAAATTTGCAGGTCAATGTGGGAAGAAGAGGAGGTGACTTGGACCAGATGCTGTTAAGAAGGGAATGTTTTTGGATCCATAAGTTTGACACCTTATCCCCTAAGGGACTTAATGAGGGGTTTACGTTTACTCCATTTATCGACCCTTCATAGGACTGTATACTCTGTAATTATATCTTTTTAATATAATTCATGTAAATATGTATATATGTGGGTACTTTTGTGGTTTCTTATATGATATTGAATATAAGCTCTTTATGTAAGAGGTGTAAATAGGAGGCTAGGTACGGCTGTACAAACATACATGTATGTATACCTTTAATACATTGGGAAATAGGGGTTTCTCACCATAATATTGAGATGTAAGGATAGTAGGACCAGGGTAGATCATGTGATACTTGGTCCCCAAATAAAATCTATATGCTCTATTGATTTATTGATATTTTGTATTGTTATCATTTAGACTTTATTAAATACATATCGTTGAAGCACTGTAATATACATATGACCCCAAACATTACATGACAAAATTTAGACAATGTTTATTAAACATTGCCTATATTCCTGGATAAGCCATACAATACATTTTCACTTATAATGTGTGAAGAAACCATTCTAGAAATTCTGTTCTCCCCTATGCACGGCTACCGGCACTTGTACGTTGGGACCACCCTCCGATACTTCTGAACGAACACAATGGAGGTGTGGCTTCCCATTCATACAAGTAAGATCCCGCCTTGAACAAACGCCTATTGGGAGTGATTAGCACAATGAGGACGGACACATGTGATCAGCTAATTTCGTCGGGAACTACGGGGACAGTGATTGGCTTAAGCCATATACCCCAATAGATATATAAACGAACATCCAGCCAGTACCTCGGTTACCTTTGACAAAGGCGCTTGGGTAGCGCCGAAACGTGCGTCAGGACTTATGCCTTATTTTAAACCACAGCACTTTATTTATGCACTTTAGGGGTTAGAGAGAAATGATTGAGATTTTCTGAGATATTTATTTAGAGTGGTGGGTAGTTTCTACAGATGGACTCCTCTATTCTAGGATAGCCTTAGCGTACAATGTAGTGGATTTTTAGTGGAATCCCTCTTACAGCATAGGCTATATTAGTGTCCTCAATCAGAAATCCTGGCTAGCAGACAGTTCAGTTTACCTCTTTGATCCTTTATGCTCACCAGCTACTGCTAATTTAGGGGATACTTTGTATCCATACCTAGCATTCTAGGCGGACATTTGGCAACTGTTATACTCTGTTATACAGGATAGTTTCTACCCAGATTGCTACATATCTTTAGGGGAGAGATTGTATACCAAGATTTTTTCTTGCTGTGACACTTTTTAGTATCACTTTATCTTTATCTCTCCTCTTTTACCTTATTATCTCAGTTCTCTCTAGTGTGTGTTAGTTTTTATTAAGTTCTATTTACCTTTTTGGGGAATTTATAAAGAGACTTTTTATTTTTATTTCCTATACAATCACAATACCCAGAGAACTCTTTCTGTGTTCCTATGGCGTTCTCTGGCCAGGGATCATTCTTAGTATTTTAAGAGGAAAAGGTGGAAAGATGAAAAGAAACATGCTCAAAGAAGAAGAAAGAAAGAAGAAAAAAAGTCTTTACACAACTTATACAAACCGAGAAACCAATGGTAATTTCCACTCAGGTACAAATATGAATACTGCTTTATTCGAGCAGCCATCAAACTGAACACTCTTGTGTCAGATCTATTGCAGTGCAAGCAAACATGAATGTCAAAAAAACCAACACAGAAGAAGTGGAACCAATGGATATGATAAAATTGTTCTAAATAGAAGAATGCATGGACACAGGTTAAAACTTGGGCCTGAACAGAGGCCATAGCATTTTAAGTTTATTTTATAAATTACCATCTCCCCTGATGCCCTAAATCTAAAAGTGTGTTGTTATTTAAGTTTTAGTAGAAATCAGATCCAATCCATGTTTGCTTAACATTTTCATTGGCCAGGTTGTGATGTTAACAAAAAAATTTAATTGGTCCTTAAAGGGAAATTATGGGTTTAAATATGTAGACCATGGCTCTGATCACAGTTAAGCAGGCTGAGTATAAACTGATAGTATGTGTAATATGGCTTTCAAAGATATTATATGGTCTATTCAATAAGCGGTGAAATCTCTGTATATAAGGAACCTGACATTTTAGCAGTTTGGCTACTTTTGCTTTTATTTTGCAAATCTGTTCTTATCTCGTCAGAGCCCTGTTTAGCCCTGATGTGTTTTCCTGCAATGATGGAAGCGCATTTTAAGGAAAATTAAAGAAGGTGCATTATTAATATGCTTAGGGGTTCGTTACCTGTAAATCCTGGGCAGCAAACAGGTTTACTTACTAAATCTGATCTGGCATAGAAAGCAAAAATAATCTGGGACAATCCAGGGACTTTCCGATGGAAAAATCTAGACATCATTCTCAAATGTCCAAATGGGAAAATATTTTAATAAATGGACTAAATTCTGAGAAACATTTGGACAGAAATAAGGATTAAGTTGGCCCCCCTGTTGTAGACTTGTTCTTTCTGCTTCCTGAACTATGTCAATTAGCCAACCTGACTGTGGTGCAGAATAGTTTTTTGTTTTTTTTAATCACTGAGTAATGCAATATCATCAGAATTCTACATGTATTTGTCAAGAATTTCAAAATTCCCAGTCTAGATGCAACGACAAAGGTATGCCTTCGATGTTTCATATATTGATGTTTCAGAGACATAGACTTTATCTGTTGTCTTACATATAGAAAGAATAAGAGTACTGAGAACTAGGCGTTTTAGAATGTCAAACGAGTCACACTTGACCATAAGTCCAACACAGCGTATGTAGTTTTACTTTTTTTTGTATAGCATTTCCACTGACATACTGTTTTAATGAGATGGGCAACATCTCCTCGTACATAGCATTTGTGTTTTTCATTTTTTTTCCCCCAGTAGGATTAACATGCAGGTCTTAAGGTAGGTGTTAAGGCTGCAGTCTTTCAGGACTCGTGATATTGCACCAAGTAATGCATAAGAAAAGTCACAGACACAGGCAATTTCTGTACATCTTTTATCCATTTTTCCATCCAAAATGTTATAGTTGGAGTATCTTTCGCTCAACATTTGAGACACACTCATTTAAAAATATTTGAGCAGACAATTTATTTTATCGTTTTAGTAGTGATACCAAACTCCTTGTGGCAGCTACCTGAATTTTGGAGAAGGAAGCCTTTCAACAATACCTTTTATAAATATATATTTGTTCCTTTGACCAGTAATGAACAAAAAAAAGTGTCATATGATATATTATGGATATCTCTTGCATACTTATGAGTACTTTTAATCTGAAAGAGTGATAAAACCGGATCTTTAAACTTAGGTGTACCAAACATCACATCCACAGCTTCCCATCTGGCATCTTGACAAATTCTTAATGATGGCATGTTGGGTGACTCCTTTTCTCCAAATGTAATTTCAGAATCAAGTTTTTCGCATCTCCAGTTGGAGGGTAATGTTTCTAACATTTCTTCTCCAAGTTTCCTTCTCTTGGCACCTCTCAACTGATTTTCTGTTTAAATGTGGTATGGGTCTTGTGTCAGGAGCTCAAACATGTAGAATTAAAGGGTTCCCAAGATCAGGTTCATGTTCTGCAGAAATTTGTACTACTGATATGCTCTGTGCAATATCTATTTGCAGTTATGAATTTTCTTGTTTTGACTTCAGCTATACTAACTTTTTTCCTCTTAAATGAGATAGCACGTGGAATTCCATGCTGTTTATAAAGCACATCTGCGATTGTAGCAGTCCATGTGTTTTCTTTAAGCAACTTGCACCTCTTCTTGCAGTTAGCATCATTATAGATCACTGTTTTTGGCTCAATTTCTAAATATTGTTCATAAGGTATTGATATATGCCATAGAAGCGTTGGTTCATTTCCCTGCATGTGCACAAAGCCACCTTCAGAAGAGTCATCAGGTGTGCTTCTGTCAGACCACAGTTCATCCATAATTTCGCGTAACGTTTCATTGAGGTAAGAAGCTGCTAAATTCCATGCGCAAAAAAGTCTGCAAACCATACATATTTTGAAACCAAACCAGTTTTGGTTTAAATATACACTGGGACGTTCCTGGTAACCTCAGAGGTATATTTTTGGAAGGAGGAGTGAGAACATATTTCCCTCCAAATAGGATCAGAGGCTGACTTTAACTCTCCATTATCATTTAAAATGCCTGGATAAGATTTTAAGGTTTCTTGTAATATGCGATTATCAATGGCTGGCTTTGTGGCATCTAAAACCAAAATATGAAAATATTTTAATGGATAAGCAAGACATTTTTTCAACTACTAGTATAAACATATTGTTAAATATCTATTAACTTTCAAGTAACCAAATCTGTATACAAGGGCGCATGGGAGGCAAGGGGGCGCTCCCTCCCTGGATTTATGCTCTTGCCTTTAAAAAGGGTGGACTGAGCAGGGGGGGGGGGGAAGGACGGAGGATGAGAAACATGTGGAGGGGACATAATAAGACACATGGATGAGCTGGAGGGCAGAATAAGACACATTGAGGGGATGTGGGAGTAGGACACATGGATGAACTATGGGGGAATGAGACACATGGAGGGTATGGGGGAGAATGAGACATATTGAGCGGAGAATAAAACACATGGGGAGGATGAGACACATGGAGGGGCTGGATGAGATGAGATAAATGAAAGGGCTGGGGGGAGAATGAGACACATGGAGGGGAGAATGAGACACATGGAGGGGATTGGGGGGGATGAGAAACATGTAGGGGCTGGGGGAATAAAACACCTGGAGGGGCAAGTGGGAGGGAACATGGACAGACATATGGAGGGACAGTGGAGGGTTAAACACATGGAGGGGCTAGGGGGTAGAATGAGATACACAAAAGGGCTGGGGAGAAGAATGAGACACATGGAGGGACTGGGGGAAGACAGAAACAAACAGGGAAAGGGGGTAATAACACAGAGGGGCTGAGAAGGGGACAATGCACACAGTGAGGGCTGAGAAGAAGACAGTAACACACAGACAGGCTGGGGAAGGGGAAAAATAGACACACAAAGGGGCTGAGGAGGGGAAAAGGCAGAAGAGCTGGGGGAAAGGGGGGCAGAGACACACAAAAGGGTTAGGGAAGGGAATAATAATAATAATAATTATTATTATTAGTATTATAATTATTAAAGGAACACTGAAGTGTTTACAGCAAAAAGCCTAAAGGGAATGATTCTACTCACCAGAACAAATGCAACCGGCTGTAGTTGTTCTGGTAACTATAGTGTCCCTTTAGATAATAATATTGTTTAACAATAAATGAGACAATTACAAAATGTTACAGGAACAATATATGAGGACCCTGCTCAAAATGAGGACCCTCTCAAATGAGCTTACAGTCATTGAGTCAGTGGACAGTGAAACAGAGAGGGGCCTGGGAAAAGGACAATGATACGCACAAAGGCATTACTGACACAGAGGGGTACGAGCTCAGAGCTTTGCTGCAGTTAACATGGCAACGCTCCAGATCCCGCAAGAGTGATCTCTAGCCCCAGGAGCTGCAGACTAGAGTACACTCCTGGACTCCACCTGGACTTAGAAGTAATATCTCACCTCCCTGGGCAAAG